AGAATACAGGTGTCAAATTCAGTTCCTGGGGGGCCGCAGCTCTACACACTTCAGTTGTAACCCTAATTAAACACAACTTATCACACTAATTAAGTCATTCAGGCTTGTTTGAAACCTACAGGTGTGTTGAGAGCAGGGTTGGAACTAAACTGTGCATGGCAGGACCAGAGTTTGACACCCCTGACTTAGAAGATCTGGATGAAAAGAACGATTTGTTTAGGATTGGCCATCACTATCCAGCACTGAGTTTGGGCACCCTTGGGTAAAATAATCAAATAATTATTTGAGTCAATAGTGTTTATGCCTATTGCTTATGGATCCCACCTTCTGTTTTGTTCTGGTCACACCATGTCAACATTATAGGCAATGTGATGTCTTCATGTTCTAGGCACTGGGAAAATATCATCTTGTGTGCTGCGTCTGTGTGTGTGTGTGTGCAAATTAAGTCAAAAAGCCCTATAAAAGAAACACTGTTCACATGAGTCGTGATGTCTAACAAAAATAATATTTTTTTGTGAATTTTGGTAGACTTAAAAAAAAAAAGTTGGTTATAAGTAAAGTGCTGCTACTGTTTGTTGTGTTGTTTTTAATGATCCTCTGCTGAGATTTCATGTCAAACTGGATCCTATACTGGATTGGATCCTATAGTTTAAATTATACTTTCATTAGGGATGTCACACAGAGTTTCACGCCCTGGGATTGCATAGATCACATGGATACAATCTGAATTTAGTTAGAAGATATAGGGTGAACTAATATGCTTTAGCTAGTTGCCTGCTTCTAAGTGTATAGTTTATTTAGCCATTATTGTTTTTCCATGCACATGTTTGTTTGTTTGTTTTTTTTACAATGTTTTAAATTGTCACACATTTGTTTGTGGTTGATACAAATTTTATCACGGATCTTCAATAAGACATTCCTTCATTTCTTCGATCTAATTTTTTCTAGGTTATAATGAACTTGTTCTTGCTCTATGATTTTCAATGATGGCAACACAATCAAGTCACTCCACATATCTTTGCCTTTTATTTCTTGCTCTGTGCTGTGGATAATTGCATGTTTGTTATAACGCATGCCTACTTGTTTTTTAGGTTGGTAAAGTACTTCATGCAACTTTTGTAAAAATTCAGTTTTCACTGTTAAATTCTGACATTCTATGGCTGCTACTACTACTATCCTTCTGTGTCATTTTGAAAACACAAATCCTTTCCTGCAATTAATAATTTCTGCAAGAATATCTTTACAATATATTTAAAGGCTACACAAAAAAATCATTCTGCTTGTTTCCCACCCTTTTTTTTGTCCAGAGAGTGACTGTGGATATTTGAGAGTTTCATTTCGTCATCTAGTGCTTGTTGTCTGGTCCAGAGTTGCCAAAAGTTGGTCAAAGTTGGCCCATTGTAACCTTTGATTTGGACCACCATCCCATACCAAAGGATGGGCAAGGTTGGAGAGAATGCCTTTAAAAGGGATCGTCATTTCTTATTAGACATTAGCCCTTTTGTTTGTTTGTTTCCTACAAAAAAGCATTTCAATTGTAAGAGGCTGAATTATCATATGCATTTGTTTATATGACGTCTTTTTGACCCAAGAAGGTCCATACTGACTCCAAAGGGAGATAGATCTGAGCCTGGTGTGTGGTTTATGTTGATTGGTCTGATTGAATGTCTCAGCATTTGGGCTTTTGTCACATGCTCAAGAAAGATACAAAGTAGGTGTAAAACTCTGCTCTGCATCTTTTCTGTCTCTGTGTTCTCCTGCTCTGCTCCTCTCCTCCACTGGAGTCTATCTTCTCTGACTCTACTGGAATCAGGCTAACTTCTGGGCCTGCTCTCTTTGTCTCTCTCCCTCCCCTTGTGCCTCTCCTTATACCTCTGGTAACTTTAATTTTACATTTAAGCTGGGTAAAATGTATACCATATGTTTTATAATTTCATATTTTATAATTTTATACAGTTATTTTGTAATTAATTCAGCTGTAACCATAGATAATTATTGTCATTAAATTATCTCATTTTCAAGTATTTGTGAATTACTTTTGATTTAACATCAACAGTTAACTGTTCCATATGTTCCCAACTGTTCGAATCGCTGCGGTTAAAACCCATTCTTACACAATCAATTAAATGTTGTAAATGAATCAGATTTTTATAAATGTAAATGTCACTGGACAAATAGAGGACTATTCATAAGACATCGATGAGCAAATCAAGGCAAAAATCTATAGTGTGAATCCATTCTGTCATAAATGACATTGTTTTTGTTTTCCCTGTAATAAGTTCATTTAAAAAAGAAAATAAAATAAAATATGATCTATTATTTAATATAAAGTAATGCTTTCTATTTTTAAATATTGTTAAATGCATTAGAAAATTACCCATGGCAACTACATTTACCTTCTCCCCATCCTCAATCAAGCTTGGTTTTGGCCCTTCACAAGAAAATGTTTGGGCTCCTCTGGTCTAGTCTTTCATTTGTCATTTCATCATGTGTAGTTATATGGCTGTATTGATACCTGGCTGTTGTTTTGTTCTATGCTATGGCTATTTAAACAAAAGAAACTGAAATAAAGTTGAAATATTTAAAAAAATAAACCTATTACGCAAGTAACCCTGCACAGAGAGCTTGTTTAGTTTAGTCTGAAAATGTATGTCTAGACATTTGGGAGATGAGCAAAAAATAGAATAGACATCTCCATGCCAGTGCAGGATTAAAATTCTTTGTCATTGCTTCAAGTGTGTTTCATAGGTGATTGCATTTGCAACATTTGACGCTTGCGTATTTTTTCTTTAAGGGATATTATTACACTAGCATTACTAAAACGATTGAATGATATATTTAAATTGAATTCAAGTTTATTTGTATAGCACATAGCGCCAGCAAACAAAGATAAAATATGAGGAAGAGAAGTTAAATGAGGAAAAAAATTTGATACGCGGAATTGAATTGAATTGAATTGAATTCCGAGCATATAGGAACCTTGCTCATTAGCGTTCTCTTCTAGGACATTTAAAGATATTGGCAAAAGTTGAGTTTTTTATAGGGTAAAATGTTTATTTCAACCTGTCACTTACACAACAAATATGATTATCTCATGATTGTTAAACGTAATATAACAAACGCTCTGCTCTAGAAATAGAAACCGTTTATTCGATTTATCAAGGTCTCCATATTTCACTATTTTGTAGGCTAACTGTCCCACTTCAATATCTAGAATACTATCCACAGTTTACCGTTCATGCACGGATGCTCTTGGGCTCCTGCATTTTTTTGCGCTCGCTTGAATTAAAGCGCCTGCGCTGTGAAGATGAAGTGCCCGCCTGAAAAAGACCCACTTACGCTGTAAACCGGTTCAACCTAAATAAAAGCGAAATTCTAGTGAAGAAAATTATCAAAATAGAAATGATTGTGAGCCGAGTGGTCAAATGGGTGGTCCAGTTCAGGTCAGTAAGTGCAACGGTTAGAAAGCTCCACCCCTGCAGAACACCTCTTGTACAGCAGGTAAAGTGGGATTTCATTCTCTGAACACCTGTCCTATTATATAGAACAGTGGCTAAATTCTGACAGAATTATATCAGTTTAGTTGTACAGTTACTGACTGAAGATATTTTGTTGTTGTATTTTTCTACTTGAATCTTCTAAGTAAGCAAGGGTAACAGGTGGAATATAATGAAGCTTCAAAGTGTTAATGCATTTCTTCTCATGTTTGCTGGCACCGTAGTCATTGGGTATGTATTTATACTTTTGTAATAGATGTTCTGTAGTCTTGGTTTTTTGGAGGTTAATTTGATAAACTACAGCAAATTAAAAAACAAGCCTGTTGATTGAACAAAAAGTTGATTGGTAATAGTTTATGGGCTATTATAGAATAGACCATACTCAGACTACGCAGCATAAAAAACAACCAGACTAACACCTGTCGCTTTTGTTCACATGCTCCACACTAAAAAAGTGGTATATAGGCTAAGGCACACAATTGTTTTTGTTTTCAAAAACATCCCAGATGTACGTTTTTAAAAACTATTTTTTAGAGGAGCATGTTTTGTTCATGGTCACCTTCATAATCAAGTTCATGCATGAATTAAAGAAGAAGTAAGGTTTGAGAATGGTTTAAGCAGTAATATTATATATGTTTTCGAGACAAAACTTTTCTTCATTGATATCATTGTTTTTAATTGTTAATTGATTCTACATGACTTTGCCTGTCATTTCGAGTTTAATCGGCTAAATATTTTGTCACAATAAGCTTTAGCCTTTAGAGCGGGCATGATAAAAAAATTATAACAAAGGCATAGGCAAAAACAATATAGGGTTATCATAATTTCTGTTGGTGTTTTTCTTGTTTTAATAAAGGTATACATGTTTTTGACATTGTAGATTTAGCCCAAATCCTCCGACTTCCCGGGCGTAGCGAATTAAGGTGCAAATTTTAGCTGTCTGACGTGTGCGCACGTCACCAGTGAGTTTATCGGGAAAACGTAGGCTATAGATGCAGCGATAAGGGGGCTAGTTAACCTGGGTCATTTTAGTCTCTCCAGTCAGGAACTAAATCTGTTTCTGACATCTGTGTTCAACTCTTCACACTGTGCGATTTTAGACACGATGTGGTTTTCTGAGACACATTTGGCAAATCCTAATATATTTTTATTTAAATACCTTTGTCCTAGAAATTAATATGTTTTGATAATTTAACAAATCTCTGCACCCCTTGCAATTACCCGGTTGAGAACCTTCTCTGTCCACACTACCAACAACTGCTGTAAATTAATTTAAATAAATAATAAATTAAACCTTTATGTGCTTTTCTAAACAATGAGAGTTTGTAACATTATTTGGATGCCTTAAATACCTTATCCGTAACTCCTGATCCCAATGATTTGACTATATCAGCTTGGGTTTAACACTCACGATTTTCCTTAAATATCTGTAATTCCTAATCATAATAATTTGACTATCAGCTTGGCTTTAACATTCATAATTTGCTATCCCTTTCCCCATAGACTCTTTTATTTGGGCGTCACCTCCCCCTCAATAAGGTGAGTTTTTCCTAATTATGTATAATTCTTTCTAGAAATGAATGAGATCAGCCTGTACATTTATTACTTTAATTTAACAGTGAATCTATATTTTATTTACTCTTCAATCAGCAACAGTTCTCCATTCATGAGATAAAAAGGCACTGTCTGTTTAAATAGATCAATAACCAGATTAGCATGTCGAATTAACTGTGGCTGTTGAGTACATTTATTGTAAACGGTAAACATATAGCTTATTTAATCTTTACAAATGTGCGTAAATACTTTGAAAGAGCGACAAGCTTTTGACTAAAGCTAAAAATGGCGCTACCTTGTGGATCTTTAAAAAGTACACCTCTCAAAAGGAAAAATCTTCAGTTCTCAGGTCGAGATTCATGATAACATTGTTTTCAGGCATTCGTGATATTCATTAATGCTTCACAGTAAGTCAAATTAATGTAATAACATGTGAGATTATAAAAAAATAACCCATTCTGATATTTAGTAGATTAATATTCTTATTATAGACAAAGATGCACACAACACTGACCAATGTTACAGCATTGACTATAACAACCATCTTTCTGTTGCAGACATATAGAGCAAAGATTCTGCCTCAAGTAAGTATTGTCACTGCTCACATACTTACTGAAACTAATACTTTTAATGTTCACACAAACAACAAGCTTTGAGGACTTAATTATAAATAAACAGGGAATACTGACATAAGCACATTAACAAGCTAGACATCCACACAAATACAACCGAAGCTATAATACTACAGAACACATTCATTCATGTATTACTGTTTGTCTTCATTTTCTTAGTATAACAAAAAAGAGCTCGGAAAATGTTCTCTTGCAGTCGCCTCAAGGGTAAGTTCAAACATTGTTTTCAACAGCTCTGCTCTAATTTTTATGATCTGTTTGTTTGTTTGTTGAATCTTATTCAGAGTCTAGAAAATATGTCTTTTGAAGATATTACATTTATATGTCAACTTCCATAATAAAGTGATGGAAAATCAGGTTATTTTCTGTTAAAGTTACTGTACCTCAAATAAATACACATCAGCTTTTTACAGAAACCACAACCAGCTTCAAAAAAAATAATTGTTAAAATAGCCTGCACAATGAGTTCTTTTTGTCTATATGTTTAATAAATAAATGTGTATTGCTACTAGTTAAGCGTACAGGTAAATCAAAGACATTTAAAAAGGGCAAGAGCTTAAAAACTTTGAAAGTTCAATGGATGTTGGATTGAATGCAGCAGTTGACAGATAAGCAGTGGGTTTGAATATCACTAGTAAAATTGTTATATTAATGAAGTCAGTAAAGAGATTCATTTTAAGATCCAAGTTCATCTAACTGTATGATAATGTATGTACTTATGAATAGTACTAAAGGTAAAAGTAAAGAGGAATAACAAACTGTGACTGTACATCATAACCATATATTACTGAAATTTTGACAAGTCTTATTTATTTTACAGGCTTAAATATAATCAGCCCAGTGTATTGGGGTAAGAAAAATAAACACTTCAACATTTTTATTATATATTATATTATATTATATTATATTATATTATATTATATTATATTATATTATATTATATTATATTATATTATATATTGTACTATACATATGTATGTGATTATCCTTTTTTAAAACAGCCCAGATGGCAAAGTTGGTCCTCTGGCACCATGGTTAGCTCCAATTGTTTCTGAAGGAAGTTTTGATCCCACACTGATTGATGCAATCTACAAACAACAGAACATTACAGTAGCAACCACCATCTTTGCTCTTGGAAAGTAAGTTTTTTTTTAATCTATCCGGGCCCTGGAAAAGCGGCAGAAAACGAATGAATGAATTATATTCAATTTATTGTATATTAAAGGTACTGTTCACCAAAAAGGGACAACGTAGATAATTTACTATTCCTTATGGAACAGCCATTATGTAGCAAATATGTAAACCAAATTAGAATCAGAAGTGCTATTGTTAGATAAACCTTTTATCCATTCTCTCGAAAATGGCTACAGAGTCGTCTTTGGGCAAATCATTCCATCAGCATGGAATAGTAAAAATGAAAGATCTTTAAAAAAAACTGATTTTGACCACTACAAAACACTTGCAAAATGTGCAAACCCATACAACTCTGACTAAAAATCTGAGGTAAAATGTGAGGAAATGCTATATTAATTTTACATGAGTACTCATTTTTAAATGTAAACACGCACATACCTGTACTTTCAAGAGACTGAAAATTCCTAGAAACATCTGAGTGTTTGAAAGTCATGTTTAACAGAAGATTCGTAATTCGTCAGCCCATAGACACAGCTAAAATGTACGAGTATTATGTTATGGAATATTATGACCCCTGACTTTTTGATGGTGTTTGTTTAAATAAAGCTGCACATAGATCACACTCAGATGTAATGTGAGCAAAAGCCTGGTCCAGCAGCTATCATGCTGTTCTCAACCGAGGATTCTGCCCAAGCTTGTGTCCAGGACACCCACAAACTTTAACTCAACAGGTTAAGAACATTAACAGAAGAGTTGGTTAAAACTCTTCCAGCTGCCCATGCCAAACCTACCACTTTTTCAACAAACCCATCATCAGCAGCCATATTTAGCCTCATAAATACCAATCCTTGCCAAGTCTTCTCTAAGAAATTCAATTAGTCATCTGATATTGCGAAGATTTCTTGCTTCAGTGCTCACTGTTAGTCAGAATAAGAGAATCTGATCTCATTTGACGGTTCAGTGTTTAATAAAGTCCTGCATTGCTTACAAAAGTGTTTTTGAACAAACAAATTGTGTTAAAAACACTCTCAAATTGTTGTTTCACAAAGGACTGAATCTACAATTAGTGACTTGCAGAGAAGGAGAGCATCTTATTTGACTATACATTTGACTACAGCTCTTCTACACATATGACTACTGCTTCTCTCAGTCATATCCATAATGAAGGAATAGGAAGCATTGTATTTGTCTAAATATCTGCTTGGTTTGTTAATCTCCATTTCTATCCAGTCCCTGCTTTGGTAAGCTTAGACAATTTTACCACATTCTAGATAAGTGATTCATTCTGATCATACACCTTTTGTCCACCGGGTTTTTCTTTGTGGGAAAAAGGTATAATTTTCATGGTCTAAGCAACATCACAGCACTATTTTTTAAACGATTCAACTCCTCTTTGACATTTAACCCTAAATTAAATAATACTAAATTTGACAACCTCCAACTTCTGCATTAAACTCCTTCACACCAACAAATTGCCTGAAATCCAGGGTAGTACCAACATTATTACAGTAATAGACAGATTCTTCAAAGTATGAAGACCCATCTCTGCACAACAAGCCTGTGCTGATCCTTAATGGACCACTATCTATTTAATTGTCTGAATCTGGGTTGGGAGGAATTAAATTGGTAATGTATTTACATTTTTATGATCCTTCCTTTCTGTTTTATTTTTCAGATACACCGTTTTTCTAAAAGATTTCCTGGAGTCTGCAGAGCAACATTTTTTTGTTGGATTTCGTGTGCACTATTATGTCTTCACCGATCATCCAGAGCAGGTTCCTGATGTGAAACTGGGTGAAGAACATGAACTGACGGTGATGACCGTAAATAGTTCGAGCAGATGGCAAGATATGAGTTTGGGCAGGATGAAAAGGCTGGAGATGCTGATTGAGAGTGGACTGGTCAATGATGCTGACTATCTTTTCAGCCTTGATGTGGATACAAAGTTCTACGGCCGCTGGGGAGCAGAGACTTTGGGTGATCTTATAGGTGTGATACATGCATGGTATTATTATACACCTCGTGAGCAATTCCCATATGAGAGAAGGCCTGAGTCTCAAGCGTTTATCCCTTATTCTGAGGGTGATTATTATTACGGTGGAGCTGTGCTTGGTGGTTCAGTGAAGTGCGTATATCAGCTTGCTAAAACCTGCAGAGAGCAACTGGACATTGATGCAGCTAAATCCATTGAGGCAGCATGGCAGGAGGAGTCACATTTGAACAAGTACTTCCTTTACAACAAACCCAGTAAACTGCTTTCACCCGAATATTCTTGGGATGATAAAAAGTCTAAACCAGACCAGATTAAAATTATTCGCTATTCTCATATTCCTAAAAACTATGCTGACGTTCGTCCAAACAAATAGAAGCTGTTATAGAGAGAGATGAAAAAAAATAGGTGTGCGGTAACAAAGAAGAGCCAGTTGGCCAAAACAATTTTGGAAAATCATCTTTATTAAACTGTTTCAAATAATAATAAAGAAATTAGTTAAAAATGTTATTTAGCATAGGTACAAATGTGTATTTTATTAAATTAAGTAATATTAACTGTGCCACATAACCTGTGTCATTATTAAGTTACAGACAGTAACAATAAAGAGAATAAAGTGAAGTGACGCAAAAAAGAAAATTTAAAATGGTGTCTTAATATGAGAACAGCAAAGTACAAGTGGATGAAGATGATAACACAAACACAATCAATAATGAAAACCTTTTTGATTTTTTTATATTTAATAAAATAAACGATCAAATGTGTACATTTGAGATCAATAATTTACATAAACCCTCTTTCAGTACAAGATAAGTTAGAAGTACTGGATGACTAAATTGGCCTTTGTGTGTGAATGGGAGAGTGTATGGGTGTTTTGAGTTGTATCTGAGTTGCGGCATGAAGGACATCTGCTGGTAAAACATATCACAGAGAAATTGGCACCTCCTTATAAAGCTCAGACTAAGCCGAAGTTAAGTGATTGAGTGGCTTTACATACTGTATACCAGGTTGACCAAACTCGGTCCTGGAGGCCAGAGTCTTGCAGAGTTAGCTCCAACTTGTCTTAACAGACCTACCTGGAAGCTTCTAGTATGACTTGTAAGAGCTTGATTAGCTACTTCTGGTGTATTTAATTAGGATTGGAGCTAAACCTTTCTGGACACCAGCCCTCCAGCACTGAGTTTGGGCACTACTGCGGTATACCTAGCAGAATCTGCAAAATGTTAATAATTTTACCAAAATAAGCAGGCTCATACAAAATACCTGTTGTTTTTCAATTAATGCAGACCTCATTCATTTATTTTCTTGTCAGCTTAGTCCATTTATTAATCCAGGGTCGTCACAGCAGAATGAACCGCCAACTTATCCAGCAAGTTTTTACGCAGCGGATCCCCTTCCAGCCGCAACCCATTTCTAGGAAACATCCACACACACATTCACACACACAATCATACACTACAAACAATTTAGCCTACCCAATTCACCTGTACTGCATGTCTTTGGACTGTGGGGGAAACCGGAGCACCCGGAGGAAACCCACGCAAAGGCAGGGAGAACATGCAAACTCCACACAGAAACGCCAACTGAGCCGAGGTTCGAACCAGCAACCCAGCAACCTTCTTGCTGTGAGGCGACAGCACTACCTACTGCGTCACTACCTCACCCCTAATGCAGACCTGCATTAATTTATCTTAAGGTATTTAAAATACACATAGATTTCATGTATTCCACAAAGGAAAATAGTTTAATTAAAAAGAATGACCCTGATCAAAAGTTTACATTTGATTCGTAAAACTGTTGTCATCTGAAAGGTCCACATTTTTTTGTGTTGTTTTTTTTTTGTAATATTTTCAAGCATTTAAATAGCTTTTTACATTAGGGGGAATCTCCTAAACCACAACCAGTGTGCAGCAGACACTTTAACAATTTAACATTACTTAAGAGGTATAGCCTACCTTTGGAGGTTTTGCAATTCTAATGTCATTATTCCTCAATATTTTAGATGTACAGATTTGTACTGTGTACTAGTTTAATGTTAAAATAAGTGCTGCTTGTTGTTGAAATAGCTTTTTAATGTTGAAATAGCATTCTGTTTCATGAAACTTCTTTAGGAGCACTGCAGTTGAGTCTAGTTATTATGTTGCTTTTTTGCAAGATTATGCAAAATAATTAAAGTGGTTAACTTATTTTACAGTAAATGCATTGTTTGGTGGTTTATTTAGCTTACCTATGTCCATACTTTGACATAGACTACTGCAAGACTTTGAATGTTAAAGAGCAAATGATCACTTGACCACTTTTGTGGGTTTGGTAATATTACAATAAAATAAGTAGACGGATAAAAAACATTTATGTAATTTAAGCAACATGACTACAACAAATAAAATTAATAATGGCCTATTTAAAGGGTCACGAAACACCAAAACACATTTTTTGAGCTGTTGACAGTCGTATATGTGTCCCACACTGCTAAAAACACTATTAGGACACCTATATTTTACTAAAAAGTGTAAATTGGTTGTTTTTGCGTTATTTCAAGCAAATTCGTACTTCCTGTTTGAAACAAATTTTTGAAGCTGCGTCACGGTCATGACATAATAGCGTTGTATTCCAGCGTGCAGACTGGACGTCTGTGCCAGAGTGAGTCTTATTACGTCTTACAGTGTGCTGCATTAATGCATGAGTAAGGCTTGGTTCAAACCAATCAGCGCGCTCTATTGTGTAACTTCATTAATATTCATTACTGTCACAGTGTAGACGGCAAAGACGCCATGTTGTGTTGGCAAAACAAGCGTGAAGTGTTGCTTTTATAGTTTGCTGCCATTAAGTTTCGTTTACATTTTCTCTCTGTGAGAGCGCAGACTCACGCATGGATTAACAGTGTACGCGACGCGCGACAACAATAACTTACGTGTCTAAGGAGGATTATTGTTTACCTGAGAGCTGTTCTCATCTGCAAACGCTGAGATCCAGATTGTAGTCTCCTCTAAATAAAGATGCGGCTCTAGTTGCTGGTGATTGTCCTGTCTCTACAGATTTGGTAAGTGAGCGACCAGTGCTCTTTGTTTATTCAGTTCGTATTTTATTCGTATCAAACAAACTATTGCACCGAGTGCAATAGTTAGCATTAACAGTTACAACCAAACTATAACCTCGTGTTGGATTTTGTGACAGGAATAACAAACGCAGCTTTCTGACGCTACCTGCCGTATGTATCTAAGTTTCCGAAAAATGCTGAGTTTTTTTTTCTCTCATTCACCGTGCGGTATCAAACATTGCATGAAAAATACACGCTTAGAGCAGCGTCTCGAATCAAATATCACGTTTGTCGGGAGGGACATTAATGAATTCCCTGAATGAAAGAGCCAAACTGCAGTTAAAGTCCACCATTTAATAATTTGGCAAATAATTCGACTACAGATGTCCATGTAAACACAGTCACATTGTCCGCTGTGGGTGTGTGTTTTGACTCTGAAATTCAGCGCGCCCAAATAGACACTCCCATACCAAGCCGCTTTTCTTCCTCCGACACTCCCCCTAAACAGAGCTGGACACGCCCACTTTTCTGACTTTTCCCAAAGTAGAGATGTGAAAACACCCTGCTGACACGAGGGGGTTTCATGGCCCTTTAAATATTTTATGTGAGAATAATCATGGATTGAAAATAATTTGTCATATTGGTTGCATCGAGGGGCCCACAAATAAAATTCATGTTAGGGCCTCATGAAGGCTTGATTGTGTGTATACTGTTGTTTCATATAAATTAAAGATTTAACTTGTTATTGGATTTTAGTGTACCACATGTTCATTTGAATATCAGCAAATAAGCAGTTCTTTTGAGATTTAAAATTGGACCTGAGAGATGCATGTTTTGAATGTTATGTTTTTGTAGTTTTCATGGTGTTTGCTGAACAGACCAGGGGTGCATTTCCCAAACTATAACCCTAAAAGGTTCCCAGCAATTTTTTTCCCAGAGCATGAATAAACGGTCAAAATGTTTTTTCACAATTTTGTATTGACTTTCAAAGAAAAATGTCATATATATATATATATATATATATATATATATATATATATATATATATATATATATATATATTATGTCATATAAAACTAATTTTAATAGTCTAAAATATCCAGCAGACAATAGATCAGGAGAACAGCATATAGCACAACTTTAAGTAAATCTGTAAAATAAAAATATTTTTATGTAATTTAATATTTTCCTAAATGCTGAACATTTTGTGACATTATTTACACTGTTTAGCTAACATGCAGGCAAAACAATGATTAAACGATTAGATAAATATGATTCATTTAAATATGACCAAACTTTGCACAGTAATGGAGAATGCAAATTCAAAAAAGAAATACATTGTCAGTTTGCATTTTGCGTTGCCGCCAGTTTTGCATATTACTTATTAAAGTTGATTTTAAAACGCCTACCCCACTTCCATAAAAGTGCTGTAAATCTTTAAGACTGTAAACGCTCATAGAAAGTACACTTATTGACTAATGCCATCACACTTTAAATGTGCTGTTTGTAACATTGACATCTAGTGGTTGAACTAGGTTTTGCAAACCAAATTCAATCTGCTCCTCGAACGCCCATTGACGACACCATTAGGAACGAAAGAGTGCAACTGATGGTGGAAGTATCGAGTTTCTCCCTGTAAATTAATGAGCTAAAGTATACATTTGCAATACTTGTATTGTTTGCAAATTATGAACCAACTCATATGTATTCTAATCTGTATCACATTTTGAAACTCAGAAAATAAATTAATCAATAAGGTGCCTATGTTCAATGAACCCTCACCACCGTAAAGGAAGACATGCTGTCATTGCCATCTCATGCTTGGAGTAATGCTGGCACTTAAGTCATCTGTTGTAGGATGGAGGGGCAGCAGCCTTTTTGGTAGGCAACTGTGAATGTTGCCACTCTCTGCCGGGGTCACAAGACCTCTGTGGCAGGAAGAAGTTGCAACAGTGATGACAGTGAACAATTAGAGAGGACCAGCCCTGAGAGATTTGTGTATTAGTTTTAGTTATGCTTAAGTGGCAGTTTCTTTTTTTTTTTTTTTTTTTTTGAGGGGCTGCCGATTTAGTTTGTTGGCTGCAGATTTGTCAGCTGCACATCTATGATGTGAATCTCCTGTTCTACCACATCCCAAAGGTACTTTAATGGATTGAGATCTGGTGACTGTAGAGGCCATTTGAGTACAGTGAACTCATTGTCATGTTCAAGAAACCAGTCTGAGATCATTCACACTTTATGACATGACTCGTTATCCTGCTGGAAGTAGCCATCAGAAGATGGGTACACTGTGGCCATAAAAGGATGGACATGGTCAGCAACAATACTTGGGTAGGCTGTGGCGTTGACACGATGCTCAATTGGTACTAATGAGCCCAAAGTGTGCCAAGAAAATATCCCTCACACCATTACACTACTAACACTAGCCTGAACCATTTGTACAAGGCAGAATGGACCCATGCTTTAATGTTGTTGATGCCAAATTTTGACTCTACAATCCTACTGTTGCAGCAGAAATTGACACTCATCAGACCAGGCAACATTTTTCCAATCTTCTATTGTCCAATTTTAATGAGCCTGTGTGAATTGTAGCATCAGTTTCCTGTTCTTAGCTGACAAGAGAGGCACCCAGTGTGGTCTTCTCCTGCTGTAGCCAATCCGCCTCAAGGTTGGATGTGTTGTGCATTCAGAGATGCTCTTCTGCATACCTCAGTTGTGACACTTGGTTATTTATGTTATTGTTGCCTTTCTATCAGCTGGAACCAGTCTGGCCATTCTCCTCTGACCTCTGGCATCAACAAGGCATTTGCACTCAGAACTGCTGGTCCTTGGGTAGTTTCTTTTTTCGGACCATTCTCTGTAAACCCTAGGGATGGTTGTGCTTGAAAATCCCAGTAGATCAGCAGTTTCTGAAACACTCAGATCAGCCTGTCTGGCACCAAAGACCAAGGCACATTCAAAGTTACTTAAATCACCTTTCTTTGCCATTCTGATGCTCGATTTGAACTGCAGTAGATCGCCTTGACCATGTCTAAATGCCTAAATGCATTGAGTTGCTGTCATGTGATTGGCTGATTAAAAATTAGCATTAACGAGGAGTTGGACAGGTGTACCTAATAAAGTGGCAGGTGAGTATATTTATATATATATATATATATATATATATATATATATATATATATATATAAACTATTAAAGAGATAGTTCACCTATTAATTAAAAAATCTTAAAACTTACTATTGATAATATTTGATATCTTGACATCATTTACTCTTGGTTTTTTTTTAATCTGTTGAACACAATAGCAGATACACTGAAAATATTGGAAATTGGTAACCATTAACTTTCATAGTAAGAAAAGCAATAGTACAAGG